ACAAAAAGATCCTTCACGGATCCGAGGCGATCACCTCGACCCAAAATGGCCACGGCGATCGCCTCTAACGAACATCGAAAGAGCATGCAGATCTCATGCAGCAATGTGCCCCTCCTATTCCAGACCTACCTCACCGATAATAGGAGAACCAGGACACTCGGAGCCGAAAGCACTCCAAAACAAGCGCAGAACCATGGGAACCATTGGAAAACCCAAGGAAAACTATGAAAACCATGGTTTTGAAACTATCTGGAACTTTGCCGCCACCCAGAAGGAATAGTTTGAAATGTTTTTTGCGTCTCCATTTTTTCTGATGCTGACTCATGGTTGCTCAGGATGTTTATCGTTTTTGTTTCCATTGTTTCCTGCTTCTGACTGGGCGGAAACATTGGAAAAAAAAACGGTGCACACAGAGTCCGAAACATTGGGAGCCGGCCTACACAGAGTCTGAAACATGTGAAAACCCAACAAGAACGGCACATGCGCCACCTCACACAATAGGAAAACAATACAAACCAAACTTGAAATAATTGGACACACCTAAGACAGCCACACATGGCACACAAAACATACGAAGCACATTCACATGCATATGCAATAAGCTGGAAACACCTTAAGCACCAACAGACTCGTGCATCCGGTTCCGTGTTCGTCACGACATTTAGCACGGCCAGCAAGCCTTGCGAGCCTTGATTGCTTGCGACCTTGTTTCGCTTCGTTGGAGCTCAAAGCAGAACTGTGTCTGTTGTGTTGTCAGTCAACAGGTTCCCTAGTGCCATGATTTCATTCGACGTAACGATCTCGAAGAATCTGACTCACGACATTGCGGATTCCATCTTGGAGTTGGTTTTGGGACACGAGCCAGACAACAGGGCATTGAGCATTGAAATATGCGACTGTGCCTAACTGCTGGTTTGGCGTCCAGGGCAAGCTTCAAATTTGTGTCTACTTATCCTCGTTTAACCACCTACATTTTAATGATCACAAAAAACAACATTTTATGCGCCCTGTTTCCTTATTATATAGTTGAACTATTTCCGACATTAACATATTGTGATTGCTCAACTGCGCATTGAGTCAATATTCAATCATATGTAACAGAAATTAACAGAAATTTAAGCAATGTTTAATTCATGCGCAATTGGACTGTCGCGCATTATTGGCACAGAACCACTGTGTAGGCACTCTATTGTTGCTGGTAACTGTCCCGCAGAATTCGCACAGAAACCCTGTGTAGGTACCCAGCAGATACTTACTACTTCAACCATACCTGTTGAGCATTGACCTGTTTTCTGTGCACTACTCGCTGGGCATTTGAACTACGCATGTTGCATTTTTGCAAATACGTCGTTCAGTGAAACCCAATATTGCAAGATTTGCGTGTGGGCTGCATAGTCTTCAGTGAGTGTGTCTTCAGGCTGTGCTTACTAGTATAGGTGAGTGCAGTAAGTCAAGCTCATCTGAATACTCGCTTGATACAGACTTGATCTTCAGTGTCGAGCTCTCTATGTATGTGTAAGTATCATGTTCACAAGAAGGACATTGTAAGTATTGAAATTCAATACTGGTTGAATCCGCGATAGTCACATAGAACTTTCCACTGCTATATGCTCAGAACTACATGATGGTAAGATACTGTGCACCAGGTTTTGAGAACAAGCAAATGCCAAAGCATTGTTGTTCATCGGTGCTTATAAAATACTTCGTTATCAGGAAAGCGTTTGATTGATATCTAACCCACCTGCTATTTCCGCAACTAGACACGTCACTAATCGGTAAACAGTACGCGAGCACTTACATACTGCTTCATGATTCAGGAACACTTGGTGCACATTTAAGGGTTGTTTCGCTGCCTCCTTCTGAGTGAATCAGCTGTGGTTGCTGTCTGAAAACACATCCGCACTTACCACGCCGTGAATAACTTTCTGCCTTCTTTGTGTTGCGGCACCGACTAGCTACTCTAGTAATGAATGTTAGATGTTCATCAAGATGATTAAAATACCGCGCACTGTGTGGCTTGAGCAGTACATAGGTATGAGGCAGAAGAACATGAAACATTCAACATAACTGGATATTTGCTCTGGCAGAAGCAATAACAATGTGGCGCAAAAGCCGTTTGATAGCCAAACTGTAGGGAATGCACCGTAACCAGTACAGGAAAACATTTGTTGTGGCTGTGGCCAGAGACTACACACCGGGGTATAAACCCGCCAAACACGTAGGTACATCGGGGGAGGGGGGTGTAGCCATATTAGCACATGTGTACATATATACGAACAACATATACATGTATGTACAGACTTCGGATACACTCGCAAGAAACGGCTAGCATGGAAGTCCGAGTCCTGTTCAGCGTATCCCGGATGGTGCTTCTCAATCAAGGCTCGTACTTTCAGTTCTGCAATCGCTCTGCAAAGAGGTTCGCCCAAGATTGCAATTTCACAGCTGCTTCCTTCAGCGCCCTCTTCTAACATCAGCGTGTCCAGTAATTCTATGCCTTTGTCGTTCTTGCTTTCCTTGAGAGGCAGAATGACGGTTGTTGTGGATCGCATCGTCCCCATCATCGCACTCATGTTCTTGCCCACCACTACTGATAGCATGTCTTTCGGGATTCTGACAGTTCGGGAGTCTCCAAACAATGAGCGTGGCAAGGCTGGATGCCTCCTTTCGTGCATGCCAGTCGCGATTGTCTTCACGATCTGGAGACCTTTCCAACGCTCCTCCAGAGTACCAGCCACAAGAACATGCGGGACCGACTTGCTCTTGGAAGCTGCGTTCTCCACCGAAGGTCCGCTAAAGAACATAATGCTGCATCCTGTTGCATTTTTGATGCTGGCGAGGTATGGGCTCTTGTTCAGTCGCCACATGACGTCCGGTCGCACTGCCAACTTTTCGGAGATGACTCCCACCAGCCTGCCTTGCAAGAAAGGGTTTTCCTGAAGAGATGCGAGTGCTCCGGCAGACATGTCTTCGAACGAGGCCGCAATGCGCAGTGCAGCAGCCAAGCGCTGTGGAGCTTTGCCAAATATTGCGATGGATCTGGCCCTGCGTAGTCGGCGCAGTGGAACCGTCTCTTCGTGAAGGTCCGAGCTATGTCGTATAACGGCACACTGTGACGCAGGAACCTTTAATACGGTTGCCATTCTCCAATGACCGTGCTGGCCCTGGACTTCAATCACATCTCCCACCTGGAGTTCTGTCAGTTCTGTCTGCTGGACTCCACGCTCAGTCAGGATCAGAACGCCCTCGGATCGCTCAATATCCGCTTCTTTTGCACAGAAAGAGCAGGCAAAGTCTTCAGACACGTAAAGTCGAACCACTTCACAACTGTTGTATCTTGCCGGCACCTCGGCACGGATCACAATGTCAGCATACATTTTGACTGCCTCTTGAACAACGGGGCCGCCACCAATGAGCAAACGGTTGTCCTTCAGTGATAACTGTGAAGCGCCAGTAATCTTCAGAATCGGTCCGGTCTTTCTTCCAAGCAGTCCAGACCAGGCGGTGTTCTTGAGGAGCAGGTCACCTCTGCTGTTCTGGGTAAAAAGATCGTCAGGGAGCACAGGCTCGCTTGGGGAACCATCCGGCTTGCCAACATCATCCCAAAAGGCATCTTCGCCCTCGCTTGGGCGACATCGCTTGACAGGGCTGTCCAGTTGCTCCGGCACCTCCTGAAGGCGCTTACGCATTCAGCTGCGCTTTCCTCTTCGAGCGCAGGGGATGACTGTGGCCACCATGGCGCAAATCGGACCTTGACATGTCTTGACTGGGTTCCGAAAGGTTTTTGCGGGTAGTGGTGATCTTAACCATCGAAGCTGACCTTCGGTCGACGGCCTAGAGTCAGAAGCGCTGACCACATGATGTGACTTGCTCTACAATGAGACCAAGAGGTAGCTCGTGATTGATATGACAACATGACCTCCTAACAGCAGGGACGTGCACCCCATCCGAGTCTGAACATATTTAATTTCACGGATTCAGTGAAACGATCTTGAACCTGTGTCCAACAAACTCGTCTGGGTTTGGACGAGCTGTCGGGTTTTGCCCGTAAGCACCTACCTGTCATAACCAAGGTTGAAGAGCTGCTCTCACCTTCGCCAGAAGATCATTGAGCTGGCGAGCCTGGTCGGAATCGGCAGAGCCCAACACATAGCAAGACAAGCAAGCAGAACGATGCAGACTTCCCTCTCTGCCAATTCAGCCTGACATCAGTGTCACACCCATCATTGATGCGAACAGCGCCTGGTCACGCTATCTTTTTGATCGCAAAACACAGGGCAAGTCTACATCAGTTCGTCGTTGTTTCGATTGAAACAGCTTAGCAATTACTCTTCGCTGCTCTTCTGAGCACAAGCTGCTTTGAACACGGTGTTGTCCACCGTGTGAACACTTAGGTCGGGTGAGATCTCTAATGGCACTCGGAGAAGATGCGGACAGCTCGAGAGATACCATCCATTGAACACATTGCAAAATACACTCATGACATGATGACTGCCGACTGAAGCTTCTCTCGTGCTGCAGCACCTGAAGGGTACTTCGCATTTACATGTCATAGTCTGTTGTGAAACTGAAGTGCTTCGCGATGTCGCACTTTTGTCTCTGTTCCACTCCTTGCCCGCATGTGTTGTAACCAGCTGCTGACTCTTGCCAACACCCTTTTGCATAAATATTTCTCCGCTTGCACAGGCATCAGGAGTATAGGAGGCTTGTCCATGATTTCGCCTACCTACTAGACTTGTCTAACATCTACACAAGCTCGCCCAGCATGCCAGCTTACGATCGCGCTACTTGACCTAAGCACAAACACACACTCGCAGATCGCATGGACAATGCGCCCAACAAAACGTTGAACACAGTGGGAAGTGGAAAATGGGTCGCACTGATGGAAGTGTTCCTCTGGAAGTTGACTGCAAGGGATATGACGCCTGGATTGCCCCAGTCCTGCACCAATCGAGGGATTTGTTGACTTGAAGCCTACTTCCATCTTGGCGAGGGTATTGTCTACTGAAATTGGTCAGAGTACTTTTTAACATCTCTCTCATCCCACATGTCATGGTTAATCGCGATGTGGAGCACATCCGTCTCGTCACTGACCGTGGCTAGCGTCACTTTTCTGGTGTCCACACCAAAAGAGTTCAAAATGGTCGAATGCCTGTCTTTCAGTGTGCTCGCATACACATGAAACCAGCTATTTGTGATGCCATCCTTGTCCAATGCGGAAGGAACTGTGCGCATGTAGGAACTGAAAAGGCTCTTGGTCGCGTCGAGAGTCATGGGTTCAGTACCGGTGACCCATCGGACTTCTCCATGCTGCAAAACGTGAGACAGGAAAGACCAGCAATTATCCTCTTGCCAGAACTTGGTGTATGCCTCGTGGTCGTCTGCGGTCATGGTTTTGAGAAGCGCCTTGAGCGTCTGGGTTTTTTCCACCCGAATCTCGTTGAGACCTGCCCACTTCAATGTGAAACCTGGAGGATTGGGTCTGAGTTCCATAAGTTCGAACATCGTGCCCAGCAGGGTGACTGCCAGGCCTTTGCCCTGCACGGTGTCATTGCATACTATAGTCGCATTGACATCCATGAAAACCACCAAACGGTCAGATGGCTCCGAAAATTTCGCTATGAGCTTGGCAAAGTACTCCTTGTCTTCCATGGCATCTAAGATGTTGGCTTTGACGAGGACTGTTCGCCACAACTTGCTGTGCTGCACAATTGTATGTCTCGCGAAGCGCTCTTGAACGAAGTCATTCTGCCCCTCTGCAAACTCCACGAAATGGCCTGTTGCCATGTCTCTGAGGTTGCAGATGCCAGGACTGGTTTCCTTTCCACCAAATTCCAGATTGTCATCGAAGAAGAACACCCGACAAGGTCTGGTGTCATCTACGTCTGCGAGCTGTGACCAACTCCCTTCCTTCGCGACCGGGATGATCTTGGCAAAGCCATTGACTTTCTTGTTCTTGCGCCAAGCAGCAAAACAAGACGTCGTCACCTGCAGCTTTCGATGTTCACTGCAAGCCTCGAAGTAGCTCCTGAGGTTCTGCCCTTTCGCGGACTTGCCATGAAGGTCCAAGTTGTAGACGAAACGACCGGAAGTGACCTCTATGCTTTGCAACGGCTGGGCTAGGTCCGTCAACTGTTTCGAGGTTGACGATGTTGCGCCGCTTGACCCGCAAGGCCCGGAAGATCCGTCGGATCGTCGTGTCAAAGGTACCTTTAGTCGGTCGATGGGGAACGGTGTCGTCTCTGTTATGTCATCCTCATCTCTGGCTAGAACTGCTGAATTAGTTGAATTTGACTTCCCTCTCTCGACGGTGATTTCACCCTCCGCCGATCTGCACTGAAAAGCTTGAGCATCTGCGACGTTTCCCGTTTCTTTCCTCTGACAAATCTTGGGCAGTCTTTCCATGCAGCGGCTCGTCACCTGCCCCATGGGAGACACCTACCACACCCAGCTCTCCCTACCCTGGATTGCTATGCTAGTGCGATGCCTGCTCGGCCCTTCACTTCGAGCCAGGACTGCAAGACAAAAACCATGCAAACATTCTGAAGAGTCAGTGTGCAAGGGTCTCTTGCGCCATGCTGATCACAACTTTGAAAGGCTCATGGTCATGAAATGTCATCCACAGCGACTACAGTTGGCAAACTCACTTCATGATTCACTTCATGCTCGGTCTGAATCACTGAAGCTTGTAATGTAAAGTTAACACAAACATCACAGTCCCGGCCTGCCCACGCCATCCCACGCCCACAGTTTTTGCGATGCCAATCGAACGTGGGACACTGCGTGAGCAAAGCACAGTTGAGGGATTCGAGGATCAATTCTAATGGATATCTGAGCCGGCTCACAACAGGCACAAGCCCGTTAGCGAGAAGATGGCATCATGAATCATGATCCCTAAACAGAAACCTGGCCTCGTACAGGACACCTTGAGCTGCACAAAAGCCTTTTTCGGCTGTTATGACGCACCATCCGGCACCAGCATCTGATATCTGGAAGTTCTCGAATTGCTCGGAATATTTGTCTTGAAGCGCCTCAACGGCACGCAGATCTGGTAGGCTGCGCACACCGGACAAGCAAAGTTTTCCAGCGGGCGCGGTGGCGCAAGAAAGAGTGTCCACCAGCTGCAGGAGCGGTTCACACAAGATGTTTGCCACAACAATGTCGAAAGCTCCGCCCTCCTGCAGGAAGTGGTCAGTGAAAGTCAAACTTGCACATTGGATATGAATCTGGGTGTGGAATCAACCCGGAACTTCGGTTCTGCCGGCCTCTACCATCTCTACGATTTGCTTGGTAGCGAGCTCGGGGCAGGCTGGCACGTGCTTGAAGGCAACGGTGCCCAACACATCGAAGGGGGCGACAACCGTGCCATTTAGTGCAAGGCTTCGTGCAGCGGATGCCAGCGCAGTTTTGTCGACATCGACGCCGAGCGTGTGCTTTGCCCCCAGCATCCAAGCCTTTCGTGCAGGTTCTTTCCTTCAGCCCTGTCTCAAACCATGTGGGTCTTTACTTGACTTGATATTGCACACTACATGCGAGCTCTCACACAGGCGGTAGCACCTTGCTCGTATGTCCTACATGTATACACTACAAGATCATACAAGATCCAAACATTAAGAGAAGGGCCCACTCTCCGCATATTGCAAACGCTGCTGCCATGCAGGGCAGGTAACACAGATCGCCAGAACTCCGGATCCAGTGCCGTAGTCCAAGCAACGAAGGCTAAGTGGGCCTGGTGAAGACTTTCAAGCTCAAGCCTACTTACAGCCTGGTTACTACAATGGAAAGCCCCGAAAGTAACAGCTGCCAGCTGCTAGCTTGGACACGAGCTTTCGTCAGCGTGGCTTCCAGAAAGGCTGCTGCACCTCTTGTAGTCGGATGATCGCCTGGGGTCAAAAAACCTTTTTCGGTCGCGTGCCGTCTCTGTGCATTATTGCTTCACAATTGCCTGCGCCAAATGCCACGCCACCTTCCAACCGCAGCACGCGCCTCCCAGTTTCGCTCAGCATTCCACCTCTTGGTCCGGCGTGGCAAGGCAAGCGGACTTCGACCGACTCGGATAAGGGGAAATACTTGCTCCAACTACCACCCAGCAAACGGCTTTTGAGAAGAGGCTTTCTAGGCAAATCCAGTGCCCCCTGGATGATGCATCCTATCTGTTCCAGATCCAACTTGGCTAGAATGTCAGAGGAGCCCTCGAATTGCGCAGATACAACTCGTAGTGTCGCCTGCCGCGTGTTTGCTGCCATCGCAGACGCTGAATTCGCCCCAAAGCCCAGCAGCAGTTCCATCACGGCGTCTGGCTGATCCGTTTCCAGTGTCACCTCCATAACGTCCGTCTCAGAGGCACCAGCAGTCTCTGAGCCAGCTGCTCTCCCTCCCTTCCTGAGTCGACTCGACCATGCCGCTCGTCTTGTTGCGACAGCGCTCGCAGGCACCAGAAATGCAGCTGGCAGCGACTGTGGCCGGGTGCTGTTAAGGAAACCAATGCAGGGATGGTTCCTCCGTGGCAGAGGGAGGTGGGACGGCCAGGCACTCCAGCACCGCGTGTCCATCAAACCTTCTTGATCTTACTTAACTGCTGGCCAGTCCGAGCCCGACACGCTTCTAGTATCGACGTCGGATTACAACAACCAGCAATGCGCGGCTCTTCCACAGCCGAGTCACTGCGAATGACAGGCAATTTATTTCAGGGCGCCAGGACACATACCTCCCTTGTGCGCATTCATTCGTGGGTAATATTCCAAGCTGCCAGCGGCGGCTCGACCTAGTCCCACACCATGTAGCCTTCCAACATAAATTCCCTTGGGGTGGTTTCCTCCTTCGCATGATATTGGATGACTTCAGCTCGGTGTCGTTTAAAGCACAACAATGGCCTCTTGCTCTGTTTCATGGTGAGTATTGGTGAATCTTTGGTTCGGCGCAGGCCACCACAGGCCCCTCGGGGGAAGCATGCCTTGGCAGGGAATTTCCCCGTGCCTCACTTTGACAGTCTAGATCGTAACAATCGAGCGGAGCTCGCTCATGTCCTGCCTGATTCTGCAACTGTGGATTCAGATAGTGGTCTTCCTCCCTCTTCCGCACCGCTGATCCGGCAATCGACACCGAATCTCCCCGAATTCTGCTTGCTCGTCGTTGCTGCTCGGAGCATGCCTCTTTGCTAAACATCTATTGTTGGACTTAGCCGCTCGTGTAGGAATGCGGCGTGCCTGTTTGTTCCTCTCCCCTTGCCATCAAATGATCTGTCTCAGTACCCTCAGTACTTTTTTCGTACCGAGTAGGAAAACAGATGCAAAGAGCAACATGTTTGGTCTGACTGACAAATCCCGCATCGTCAGTCCCGCCAGCAAGCAAGCAGAAACTCCAGGCTTTTTCTTCTGCAAGCTTTCCGCATTAAGAAAACTCCCTGAGCCGGACGTTTCCGTCCTCAGAGCCACTCGCGCAGATCCTGGCCTGACACATAACCGAAGCTTTGGTAGGGCAGGGAAAGGAAGAACAGAGATCACACTCCTGTGCTTTCCAAGCAACATCTGGGCTGAAAGCCAGAGCATGGATGGGTCCTCCAAGCACTACGTAGGTCACTAGGCATGCCTTCGTGAGCCCCAATGCTGTTTTCTTTCCTGCTGTATCTGTATCTGAGGCAAACGCCAAAGTGGCCGCCTTTTCGGAGTTTCGGGTCCCACCTCGACGACCCACATGGCCAATGCAATGCCTGTTGTTAGTTCTGCCAGTCCGTTCTTTCTTCAGCCCAGTCGCGGTCCCTCTGCTGGACAATGTTCCAATCCTGTGAACACATCGCATTTTTCACTCGCGTGAGAGGCAGTCTGCCATGGACTGCGAAAGCTCAGCAGGCTTTTTCCGCGGGGGGCATTCCATTTCACAAAAGACCAAACCGCAAATCTTAGCGGGGGCCATTAGACAGACCTGCCCACAGTTCAGAAACAACAAATCGCTTCGCAAACCTCCTTTCTTGGACCCACCTACAAATAACAGGCAGCGAATCTGTACATCTCATGTTTCGGCTAATGGTTTGACATCACACCTGGCATGACTCGAACTATCTCGAACTAGGTGGTGTCCGAAGCTGAAGAGCTGGACCATGCAGGCTTCCACCCAGGCAGCTGCCATCCCAAATGAAAGCAAACGAGTGGGGTGACGAACAAACTCGGCTTCAAGAGTTGACACGATACAAGCTGTATCAGCGTACGCCTGCTTCCATGCAGATCACGCAGTCGGGAACGTCAAACGTCCCACACTCGCGTCATATCTGCCTCGAAGATCCTCGAAGTCCCACGGCCCGGGAGGCACTGTACCAGCATCTTAGCAGACCGAGATTTGGGCGCGCATGTTTTGTGGGATGCCCTGGTGCTTTGCAGGGCACTTGCGTCTTGGAAGCATCGGTCAGCATCAGCAAGGCAGGGCACAGGCGACCCCGGTTCCGATAGGTGACGAGCCCGACCTGATGTGCAGCATTGTGCAAGCCATGTATCGCGGCAATCTTGCGCTCGATCACGGCCGACACCAGCAGCCGTGGGGGCATCACGCCAACATCCACGGCGGCCGGGTGCTTGGTGAGGGGCGCTTGTGAGAACGTCGGCAGGGCGAAGCCATGGGAGGTGATGCGATCAACCGCTTAAGTTCAGCCTGAAAGGCGGTCTTGACGGCATCGAGGGTGTCCCGAACATCTTTGTGACCGTGCGCGCTCACCCCGGCAGTGCAGTGGCACTGGTGTAGCCGGGCCACCACAGCCCAGGCATAGAACAGCTGCAACGAAATTGTCAACCGCCTCGATGCGGGCGCCTTTACGCGTAGGTGCTCGGTGTCCTCGGTGCCTAGGCTGCAATGAGGCTGCCACCTGGACAAGGGCCCGCCAGAAATCTCAGTGACTGGCTCCTCCCTGTCAGCCAGCCCTTGCAACCACCAAGCCCATGCTCCAGCTGGGCATCGTAGGTCTGCAGAGACAGCACGGCGAACAAGCCTGCGTCTTCAGAGTGTCAACACATCTCCACGACCATGGGGCGAGAGGCGACCCGACTTGCAGGAAGGCCGGCAATAGTTGTGGCTGCTATCCTGCCGAGGCCTTCAGGAGACATTTCACAGCCTCACCAAAATCTACATCTTAGCATTCTTCTTTTCACGGACCCGTCCACAATGCTAAGGCAAAGCAACCTACATAATTTTAGCAGGTGTCAAGTCAGAGACCCACCCAAAAATCAGAACTCACAGCTGGGACAAGCCTGGCGAGGCAAGTCCGAAAAGCACATTGGCTAAAAACATCACTTCGGGAGCCCAGCACATATCACTGGGCAAGGGATCGCAAGGGAGCATGCGGGTATTAGAGACTCAGCCACTGCCAGAAAAAAGACTGCACAGAAGATCGCCCAGCACAGAACCTACCAGTGAAAGGCGAACGCCTGCGCTACCTCATGTCCTGGAAACAGCTAAATAGTTCACATTCCACAGCATCCCACAAGGCCCATCCTTCATGCAAAGCAGACCACCATCCGGCAATTCTAACTGAGATCATGCAGAAATATCCAACCACCAGGAAACATGCGCTAACGAATCAGCCGCCCACCATAAACTCGCAATGACTGGATGCCAGGCTTGACGACTAGGAGAGATGTATGCAAACAGATCTGATCTCCATGCTGTGTCCGACTGCTCAGATGCCAGATGCTACTGATCACGTGACTTTTCCCTGACGATCACATCGGAGACGTTGTGCTGCTTGCAGCCGACAGCTACTCATACTCAGCTTTTACAATCAGGTGCGGCATCTGACGTATCCCCCGACCGAGGCTTGTATAACTCAAGCCCCGCTCCGCAAGCTTTCGTGTCGTGTTCACTTCCTATTCCGACTGAAGCTCAAACTGGCCTGGCGCTCCAGAGTCAGAAACTCTGGCGAATCTGAGGGGCAAGGGCTCAAACCTCGATTTGGGGCAGAACTAGCGCGAAGTAGGCCGCACTAAGTGTTAGCACCTGAAGTACCAGCACCATACAAGTATCCTGCAGGGAGGCTTGGGCGGTGGCTGATCGACATCAGTTCCAGCCTAGGCTTGCGCAAATCTGGCAGAGACCGCCGATGCTACTACGTCGAGCACATTGGGAAGGAGAAAAGCGGTATGTGTAGCTGAGCAGCGCCCACGAGTGCAACGTCCCGAGCATCTTGGCCACCGCCGGCCAGCACTGTGCAGTCGCCACCTTCTGTGTCCTTCGAAATCACTCACACATAGCATAATCACAACGAACGTGAGCTGAGCCAAACCACAAGGTCCTCCGAGGCGGCGTCCGCGAATGTCAGCCTAGGCTCGTCGCGTCTGCTTGTGGCAAGCGAGCAGTTGTGAATCACAAACGGTGGTGGCAGTTCGGACGTGCACGCTGGGGCAGTTCCGGGTTTACCTAGAAGCGTCGCTAGAAGTTCTTGCGAGGGCGTGAAGTCGGAAAACTGCTCCGCCAGGCTGCCACCAGGTTACCTGACTGGGTGGGCCAGTAGGAGATTTGAAGCTCTGGGTGACAGGTCGGGCATGGTCTGGCTGCCCGGTGATCCATGCACTTTGCGAGCTGTACTTGCGCTGAAATAGCGGTGGAAACAAACACCGCAGGGACGATCTAACGGATCTTTACGCCACAACTCGAGAGGAGTCACAGTGCGCAGGCAAGACGAACAGTCGGAACTTGCTGACACGCACTTACCGCTGTCAGAAGCACAGCCACAGACGAGAGCCAGGCCGGGGGGGAAGAGGCACAACGGCAAAGCATGCTCTCAAACCAGGCTCGAACTTCCGGGACCACGGCGACGGCCGGACGGCCACGCAATTCAGGGCGCGATCGCAGACGAAGTTCCGCATTAGCTCGGGCACCGGATTCTCTCCTGTCGGGAGAAAATATGACGGTAACTACCTGTGCCACGCAAAGATTCCTCTGCCTTCCAGGTCTTCGAAGTCACTGCCGTCGCTGTCTTCTTTTTCACGAGCAAGGCACCACAGCCGGACCTTTGACGCATTCGGTCTCAAGCTCAGTACCTTTGCCCCTCTGCTCGCACCTCCATGTCTTGCCGCCCGCACGACACCATGAGCCTTCCTTCATTTGGAAATGCGATTCTGGACACCATCTCCTGGAGTCGAATGCGTACAATACCATAAATGAATCAGTTGGCAAGAACTACCCGAACTGTCGCGCTGTTTGGGCTTCAGCCGATGCACAACAAGAGTAGCCTTACTCGCTCACTGACTGCAGACCCTGCAAACCACCTAAAGAGTGCCAGGACCTCTCGTACAGTAGGTAAGGAATCGAATAGGGTAGCAAGGAAAGGTTAAGGCAGAACAGTCGCATCACCATGAAAGCCTTTCGTTGGCTAGCGCTTCTGCCGAAGCATGCTGCAACACGCGCAACGGTGCAAGGTCTTTCTCGGCCGGCTTGGCCTCCGTGCATACAGCCTACCTGGCCACGTATCCATTCAGAGGTGGCATGCGTGGCATCACACCAACTCAAGACATTAAACACCTGCAACAAGACGCATGGACGTGCATTGACATGCCCAGTCGAAGCCTACGGTGTACCATCCAGACATGCCTTGACAGCTGGAAACAATTGCTGGTGCAAAATTCTGCTCGGACCATGTGGTTCAAGCGCGCAGGAAAGGGAATCTTTTGCAACAAGGGTACCAAGGCTGAGGGGAATGTTAGTGTGGTCTCGCTGTCTCGAAGCATGTGCAGACTCCTTGTGCGCCGTCAGCCTGGTCAGCTCTGACCCGGTGAGCGCATTCCAGAAGATGATAAGGCCACCATCCTCTACGCTGCAGGCTTTTGCTTGCTGCTGTCCGTGCCTTTGATTTTGATGCTGTCAAGGCTCATGTAGCGAGCACAACCATTCCCAGTAGGGCCCAGCCCAAGCGACTTGTGTTGCCGCCGATGGCAACCTGGTGGCTTTTCTTTCCCAAGTTTCCAGCTTTGAAAGGCTGCACTGAGTGGCCAGCGTGGGTACCTCAATCGAGGTACAGCACCTTGAATTGAAGGCCTTGCCGGAGCATCATAGCCATAGTAGGTCATGGGATCATCTGTTGCGGTTGACGCCTTTGCGCTCAAGCTCCATGCGAACAGCATCCGGGCTGCAGACGGCCCCCAGCGTGGCAAGCTCGAACACGTTGACGGCTGCTGGCTTGGCCTATTTGACGCAACAAAGCTGGCTGCTGGATCCTTAAGGCTGCAGAAGTTACCGGTTACCGCACATCACAGGCCTTTGTTGCGACCGTTCCATCTTGTCCCTAGAACGTAAGCCGGAACGATCCGACCGCGACACTACAACAGAGCCCAAACGAACACCTTTCGCAAGTTAAGGCGACACACGGCTGCCACGGACAGGCCTTGAAGCCGTTACAGCAGCAAGCGAAGCGCAAGCACAAACCATGCGACCACTCCACGCATCGCACCACTCCAGGCAGTTCGACCTGCATGAGATTGCAGCACAAGCGGACTCAGTTTCAGGCTAGCCATGCCTCGTAGAGCAAACTGGCAGAAGCCGCCTGTGCTGATACTTACCACCGATGTTGCCACGGAATCAGTCCCATGAAATCTCTTTTGTTATCCCTTCATTGCACATCAACATGTCAAGACTAGATACTCGGCCCTTGTTGATATGCTGGCAATGTCGGGGGAGCTCCCTCTTCTTGCTGGTCCTGGGTCCTGGCTTTCTCTTGCATTCTTTTGCTGGGGATTTCAATTATGCTGAACCTGGCTTGTCTTTATGCCGCTGCTCCTTCCTTTACGCTTACCCACCAGTTTTTATGCTGGGGGGGGGGGTGTGTGGTGGCTCTGCGCCCATGCCGCATGGAAGTCGGCTGACCTGCCTTCTCGACACCCATTTGTTCTGCGTCTTGGCGGTGTCGATTCTTACTTCTTTGGCTCCGCATGATGGATTGTCCATGATTGTCCTCGACTTTTGCAACCAGCGTTGGCGAAGGCTTTTCCAGTGGAGGTGCTTGGGATGGTATGATGTGACGATATTCATGTTCCTCTTTCTGTCTTCTGCGAGCCTGAGGGGGGGATGTGTTTTTCCTCTCTCTCTCCCGCTCCTCGGTCTCTCTCGCGACCCTCTGTAAATTGCAATCGAGCAAAGGCAACCTTTTCGGTTTTTCGTGCGATCGGCACGAGCCCTTGTAAATTCCAATGTACGGAGCTCTGCAGCCTCTGCATGTCAATATTTAAACCACGCCGTGCGTGCTCGCGTTCCCGCCGGGGCCAATCGTGAACGTCTCCCCAAACAACCACCATTACTAGTGCACGCACACAGCAGGGCTCTCTTCAAGTGTTGGTCGCAGGGGTCGCTTGCTGGCACCGAGCTCTGTCCGGTGAAACTCAAACGGGCAAAGACACCCGGGAGTGGATGGGTGGGCAAAGAAATTTGGTGTCGCCCCAAAATGGCCACGGCAAACACCTGTTCAAGAAACCCGCCATCCATGCTGATCATTCTCACCGCCACAAATGAAAAAGTTTTATTCGACAATCGTGAACCACTCCCCAAACAACCACCATTACTAGTGCACGCACACAGCAAAGATGTTTTCAACTGTTGGTCGTAGGGTCGCTCCGCTTGCTAACACCGAATCGAACTCTGTCCGGTGAAACTCAAGCGGGCAAAGACACCCACCTGACCCTGGCCAACAAACGCCAGATACATCCAACTTGCTGTGGCGCGGTTGCTTGCTGGATGTAATTCAAGACGTGCTGCTCGCTGATGACTCGGAGCTCGAGGAGGAAGAAGAGGATGGGGCTTGTCTTAAACCCGGGAAGCAATGTTTGCATTTGCGACCCTCTTGACTTGCCGGCAGCCATTCAAATTAGGTTTCGCCCGAGGCGAAAAGCCAAAGGCAGCACGCACGCCAACACTTTTGGTTGAGCGCGTTCTGTGGCACGCACATGCCCGCAAAACACTTGTGCAGTTTGCCTCCAGGTCGCGGCCGGCTGTCCCGGTGGATCACCAGTGGGCTCTGGTGGCGGGCAGCTGTTTTCGACGATGTGCTGGCGTTCTGGGGCCGGGTGTGGCCCCAAGCAGATATTGCACTGGTGCGAGTGCTTGTCCGGCATTTACATTGCGGTTTCTTGCTCCCGCACTTTCCCTTGCCATATACGTTTGTGCCACGGCGGTTCATGCCTTTGGTCTGTGGTTGCTGCACACCGACCACATGTCCACTACTGGTTCGCGTGCTCAGGTTCGCAGCTAGAGGCACCAGAATTCTGGTGTGTGCCGTTCCCCGTTTTGGCTCTCGTGTGGTCGATTCGCCGCTACTAGACCGTTCAGGCGCTGTCCGTCACTTCTTGGATTGCATTGGTAGCCCTCCCGGCCTCTACGGATGTTACGTCCTCTCTGCCTTGCCTTCCTTGGATTTTGGATTTCAGCGTGCTCAGCGATCGGGGAACAGCCTCAGGGGGTCGCTCGTTGTCCGATGTTGCCCGACCAAACTAGAATGACGGCCGGAATTGCCTTGTCTTGGGCTTTCCACCCTTGTGCTGGGCGGTTCTGGGCGCCGACCATTTTCCGTCTCCTGACGAAGACGTTCCCCTTCTTCTCCGAGAGGTCTTTCCCATCATATGTATTTTTCCCGATCTTCTGCTTCTTGTGTGCGGAAGCGTGCTCGTCGTCGCCAGCGCCACCATGCCGCCCAAGGATCCCTTCTCGAAATAGCCGCCCAGCGCTCTACCGGCGAAGGTTGTGTCCGACGGGCCCGGCCCGGCCTGCCGCGGTGTCCGCCGTTTGGCAAAGGCAGAACCGACCGCAGCAGAAGCCGAAAACCCAGACACAAAAGCACGAGCTAAGGAGGAGCCACTCGAACCAAGACGATGCCGAGGAAACGATCAGTGGTCCACTCGGAGCGCAATGGATAGGGCTTACTTGAAGAGGCCACGTCACATCCATTGAGAGGTTATCATTTTGGGGCCGGTGCGCGGCACATGTATTGGAATTGACAGTGGATCACGGCCAGTGTGCAGCCCATGCACGAGAATTACAAGGGGTCGGGTCGCGCTCGCCGGAGAGGCGACTCATAGCGGCACCACACGCGCAGAGGCGCCCGCAGCAGGATATCCCCACGCCCGCATGTCTGCTGTGTCTGCTGCTACTGAGCTACTGCTACTGCTATTGCCTCGTGCTACGTCTGTACTCGAAAACATGAGTTTCGAGGCCCCTGGACATGGCCAACCTGCTTTTCCAGAGTACTTGCTGAATTCAATTGCGCCGTGAAAGGGTTTGCCAAGTACTGGCTGAATCGCACAGTACTTTGGGGAAATGAGTTTTGGAGGCGTTCGCGAATGTGCCGGACATTGCATGAGCTAGCTACATGCATTTTCGTCCTCCCACAAGCGTGACTCATTCTAAATTTCAACAGGTGGGGCATGTCCTGGTCTAGAGTCTTGACGACATGACATGACAATCTTCTGGATAGATGTGGTAGCAGCAGCTGTAGCAAGAGCAGGAACAGGAACACGAGGTCGTCGTCGTCGTCGTCGTCGTCGTCGTCGTCGTCGTCGTCGTCGTGGTAGTCGCAGTGAGGAGATACCCCCCGCACCCTCCCCGCGGCCTACGGAGCATACAAGGTTCACCCAAGCACAACAGGCGCAGCTAAATGGGGCCCATGCAAGGAGGAATGGGGCGTGCCAGCGCAAAAAAAGAAACCATAAGCATATCAAGAGAACCCATCGGCACCGGAATGGAGACATGGAGGTGAAGAGCATTGAAAAAATGAGCATGAACAATCACTCCCAGTCCAGACTGGACTGTCACTGGATTTCATTATCGACATCGAAAGGTACCAAGGCATGTCTTGACCGCCTCCCACAGCAGCACAAAGTTGTCTGCACCGCATGTCAGCAGCAGTCCCTCATCGTTGTTGAGAGAGCATGCCCACACAGCGCCCCTGTTCAGATGCATCGGCTTTGGCGGACTAAGTTCATTCTCGCTCGTCTGGCCTGTGCCCTTCGTACTTGCGGAGGCACCTGCACAGATCGCATCGCACGTCGAAATGGCAACCTCCGGAACTGAGGCGCTCACTCTCCGTCGGGCACGCTCCAGGCAATGACCAACTTGTCCTCCACGCGCACAACCAGAATGCACAAGTTACAAGTTGATACACATGTCCTTGCCACAAGTGTACAATGTTTTGCCGGCAGCATCGAAGGCGACGTAAGTGACGGGTCGTGAATGTCCTGGATGCGTAAACGATGCTAGGTCAAAGGGATACCCGCAAAACTGTCCTTGTAGCACAACGTCGTGTCTTTGAGCCTTGTGGGCCTCGCTTTTTCAAGAGCAAGCGGAAGCCGTCAGAGCGTCCGCAGTGGTCTGGGCGTGCTAGGCTACCGGCCGTGTTCAGATGCAAAGGCTTGCGTTCTGCTGGCGCATCTGGAGCAGGGCTTGGCCCCAAGGATGGAGAGGAAGTCGCCGGTTCAGGCCCTTAGCGTGATGCCGCATATGCCTCAAACGACTGGAGCTTCCACCAGTGTCGCCTTCAAAGCCCGGAGGCGCAGAACCAGTTGGCCGGGGGAGAACCTCACAGAGCAGAGGCAAAAGCACGACGACGACCGCCTTCTCTTAGGGGTCCTGGACGACAGGCTTGCCGTCGGGTCCAATCTTTGTCATTCGGCCCACGATGTCGTCGACGTCTTGGTCCGTCAGCTTTCCTGGCATGGCTGGTGTTGCAATTTGCGGCTTGGATCAAAACTTGCACCTTACCCGGAAACTGGCCTCCGCCATAGCCCTTTCGAGGCACGGACATCCTGTCGGGTCGATCTTTCTCACCAGCCTGGCACAGATGCGTCTCTTTCGTCCAGTTCAAACATTTTAAAGATGGCCGGGTGAATGCACGAGGCTCGGCATACCTCGGCATGTTTGGTCCAGTTAGGTGGTCAACCAAGCCAAACGATTCAGTCCTTCCCCGAATCCTAACTGTCTAACTGGCCCGCCTGGGGCAACCGAGGCGCGTGACTCAACGAGGAACCCAACATGAACGTCAGCGCAGTTGTGTTTTCTCAATGAATTTGCGGAAAGCTCCGAAGACAGGACGGTCTGCACGAGAAGTTGGAAACAGGACTGAGTTTGTCTTATTTCCCGGCACCCTATGCGGCGGACTCAGCATGACATGCCTCTGTGCCGTCGCCGCGGCCGTCACCCTTGCGACCTGCGTTGTTGTGCGGCGCCTGAAGCAACGAGTTGTTGGGCTGGCCCTTCGATCTGTTTTGAATGTTTGCCACCGTGGATGCAACGGCAATTGGCACATGGAGATGGCAGTCATTACTGAACCCAAGTTTTACATCGCTACAACCTCACTGTTTGTTGACCTGCCTCGAAAGTCTCGGCGGCACCTCTGCCGGCACCGGCGCCGCCAGCATGGCCGTCGTCTGGCCGAAGCCGCGTGAGACTCGAACACCCCCCCTCGTTGCATGCCTGCCTGCTTCCTCATCTCCCTTGAACTCCTTGTGAAAGGACGTTGCTTTCGCGAACAGTCGCTACAGCATTCAAGTTTGATCATGCAGCTTCTCCTGTGATCTCGCTTTGCGAGCTTTCCAAAGTTCGCTAATGGTGGCATCCACAGATTGTTCAGCATCGTAGGGCGCCTCGACATCTACAATCGCAGTTTGTGTATGAACAGCTTGCAACACACAGCTTATCTTGCGAACATGGGATCCTCCAGTGCGTCCTCGAACTCTTCAGGCTCTTCACTCGGCATCTTCACTGGCAACTGCTGCTCCTGGAGATCCTGTGCAAGTCGAGTGCAGGCGGCCACGTCTTCCCGTGGTTCGTGACACATCCGTTGCCAGCGAGTTCGGCTCCACTGACGGCCTCTTTCGGAATGCTGTCCCAAAACTTCGTCCTGGCCAAGAGGCGCATCAAGCCGAGCTCTGCTGGTGCAAGTTGAAGTCACACTCGGCCTAGCACATTCTGCAACCTGTCCTGCCAGCAGCTTTGCCTTTATCAGCGGCATAAAGCAGCAGCTTCTGCGCCTGGTTCTGCAGTCTTCCTACAGTCTGTTCAGCGAGGTACTGCTGTGCACTGGGTCCTGCGTTGTCACACCCGCGGCCTCATGCGTGGGCAGCTTCAATAGAACTCAGCCTTGTAATATTGCAAGCTGAGGAGCTTGAACGAGGAATTTGACCTTCTTACCTTGTCTTCGCATCAGCTGCATCAAGCTGTGGGGTTGTATTCTCGGCTCAGCTAGGCTGCTGCTGTCAGGACTTCCCCCTTCTTCCGGCGACTTCCGTATGATCTGCCTCGCATGCAGCCGCACTGAGCTCGTTCCGGGTCCGTTCGCCTTCATGCAACGAACCTGACTAGGAAACAAGGGGCAAACCAATATCTATCTGGCTTAGTGGATGCAGGAACCGCAAGTTGCGGTCACATTGCACATCGTGGAACTCTCCCTGGCGAATTGAACCAGACGCAGGCCTCAGAATCAAGACGCCGTTGGGCTCTCTGCACTTTTCGGGTCAGGAAGCGTAGTTCAGCAAGCAACTATGGCAACGCCAGGCCCCCACTTTATGGTGTAGTCCTTGGGGGCTGTGGTCTTCATTTTGTAAGCGACTTGGCCGCTCCACCTTGGAGAAAACACAAGCATGAATGATGAGCCGAACGATTACAACCATGCCCTGCAACTGAGGACAGGAGTGCGCAACTGCCAACACGGCACGTATTCCGCAGCTTCACCCAGGCATTCAATGAGCCTTAGGCGATGCGCACCCTGCACATCCTTCTTACAAGGTCCATGTCTCAAGCCTTTCTGTTGCCTCCCTACATCGAGTCCCCATCCATCGCGGGCAACACGGAACTCGACCGCCTCGCGATGTGCAGGCATGATACACGACTTGCCTGGGACAGTGCATTTCCTGGATTGGGGTGTCACAAGGAAGGGGTTCTCTTTCTGAAGAAGTCTCAATTTAGGGATTACGTCCCTATGGTCAGGATCCGGGACAGTGTATGTGCCGTTTCCCTTCAGCTCCAGCTGCCTCGGGGCCCCGAGGAGAGCTCTATCAGTTCCAAGGCAGGCTGTGCCCAGGCTTAGGCGTTTTTTGGGCGTTGAGGGCGTTGAGGTTTTAGCTTTACTCACCTTAGCCGTGGCTCGGTCAGGCAAAACTCTTAACTGCAAGTCTAGAGATGCTCATAACTCAAATATTTGGCCTCTGGCTGTGGCGATATCACAGTCAAAGGGGCCATTGCTGGAGTCAGGCGGCGTGCAGTCAACGCATTGCGACGGGCAGGGCTGCAGAGGAGGTGGTCTGTCTATGCTGGCTTAAACTGCTGCAAGTCTTTCTCGGCAATGGTGCATACTCTCTTCAAGAGGTGCCGCTTAGGTACGAATCTGCAATCATTGACAAACTGGGTATTTTTACTGGATCCTGCGTTGCTTGGCACGGTGATAGGTAGCATACTAGGGAATAAACACAGGCGGGTCATTTGCTATGCAGATCTCTTAGGGCAGACCGGCAAGGCCTGCCAAGCTGCCAGCTGCTAGGATCTCCGAAGCAACTGTATGTTGTCGTGATTTCCTGGCAGCTGCAATGCCTTGGCTTCATGACGAGGTTGCGCTTTGAGAACTGCAGCCAAAAATTGCATTTATAGAACTTAATTCGCAGCTTCAGTCGGATCTACAGTATTGCAAGTGCCCGGGTCTTACAGTTGCTCTCCTCCGTCTGGGTCAGACGGCACTGGGTGCCTGATCCCTTTCTGCAGGAACGCAAAAAAGAATTCCGGTGTCCGGCACAAACGCAGATCCACGAGGCCGGGCCAAGCCAAGAGGTGCTCCAGTGTACCAGTCTGGCACGGCACCACCCTTCTCGTGCAACGCGGAGCTAAGCCCGTCTAGAAGCATGCAGAGTGTGCTGGCAGCATGTGCAGGTTATCGAGCAGCTTAGCTCCGGAAACTCATATACAGGCATGCACATCTCTTAGAGATGACAGCAAAAAAGATAAATCTGTTTCCAGGAGAGGTGGTAAAGGAACGGCATCTTAGCCCGAGCAAGAGCAGAATAGGAAAGCGTTTGACAACCTGACGCGGCAGCCTTCTCCAAGGGAAGCCAGTAGGCCTTCTGAGCTGGCCGGAGCTGAACTACTCAATTTCCAGTGACGCTGGCACGCTTCTCGACGTACTTCCTCACATGCGGGTACAACCAATTGTGCTGTATGGCAAGGAACTTCTCGTAGGCTTGTGTAATACTTATTCAATGCCAAGGGTCTGAAGGAATCGGACAGACAAGCCTTGGACAAAGCAGCTCTGCCAAATTGCAGTGGTCTCGTGAAATTTTGTAGACATCAGAGCAAGCAGCCATGTCTGTTGCTGCCCCAGAGTGACCGACTGCAAAGCACGCCCAACGCTTGAAGCCGCAGTAGTTCAGTACTAGTCAATGAAACATACCAAAACCGAGGGACAGGCGAACTCTGCTTTCCCCCTTTGCTATTGTCATGCCCGAAAGCGAAAGTCAAAAATGCAGACCCCAGCCCCACGTTGGACTTGGACATAGCTGTGCTCTGCGGAATGGAATGCAAGAGGCGAGACTGCTAAGCTGCTAAGCATTGTTGAGCCAAGCAGGGCCAAACCTAGGCGAGCAGCTGACCAAGATGGATCCAATCAGCCCCAGGCCCGACCAGATCAGCAGAAGTTCTGCTGCACTCCATCCATAGAGTTCAGTGTTGTAGGTGACCATTGACAACCCCAAATACCAAAAGACAGCAAAGGAGGTCACCACATCCTTGGCGCAGTGCAGGCCACACATACAGAGCCGGCTGCCATAACTGCCACAGATTGAGCTCAGCCGCTGTAAAGCTCTCCTGTGTGCTGTGCAACAGCTGGGCATCTCGAGGAAAGCTTCGACGTCGGACTAGGAACAGCTTCCTGAGCAAACAGACACGACTGAAACGATGCGATGACACTGTGGCCAAAAACAAAACACAACTGAATGCATCCCACTGGCGGGAGCTTGCACCGCACCTCCAAAAGCCTCGCCAGCAGTGTGGGGATGATGCCCCAGGGGAGCACAGGTGCGAATAGCACGACGAAGAGGAAGTTCAGTTTGATGTCCTGGCCACGGAAAGTCTCACGGTTGCATTTGCTGGTAACACATCCAATTGCTTTCTTCTTGGGCCACGCTCCTTGAGCTCATCCAGTGCATCGAACTCGCGCAACACTACTTGTTCCAATGGGCCATCCAAACATCGCTCGCCTTTACTCAAGCGATTGATAGTCGCAAGAGCGCGCCGAACTGCCCCCAACACTATCAAAGGCAAAGCGCAGAAGGCTGGAAGAGCCGGAAACAAGTTACTCTCACTGACATGGTCCCATTGGGCTACCTGCCACAATCTCAACCCGGCGCAATTGCAAACTTGCTGCAGCAGTCGTCGTTGTCGGCATCTGACATGTCCAGTTCAGTCGTGGCAAACGTGCGACCGCAGCATAAATAGCCTTAAGCAGGATGGGACCGCGACCGAGCGGCTTCTGAAAGAACGGTCCGTGTCTCACATCATGCCTAGCATGAACTGGACGGCCACGGTGCGTAAACCAGTCACTTCGGCATCCAGCACAAAGATGAGAGACAGCCTCGCGATCCGTATGGCGCTTGGGCTTGTGAGCCACTTGTGCACTTTGACAGCTTGTAGCGTTGAACAGCCAAGTGGCAGTCGCGCGAGAGGTACACCACAGCAAAGGCACCACCATCGTGACAAACATCTCCGAATGCGTGTGCACATTCCGCTTTGGTTCGCCTCTGCTTGGATTACATCTTCGATTACGCTTTGCAATGCTGTGTAGACGTCTCTCCTTCGAAGGTGCCCCGACCCCGCTTTGGCCTTTGCATTGGTGTCCCGATGGTCGGCCCAGTTGTTCAATCGCTTGGCAATTAACGGGGCAAGAACCGCCGGGATCATGTCGACAAAAGGACCTTCAGTTTACTCCTACTCGCATTGAAGGAAAGAGCTCAGCAGCGATCACAACGTCGCCCAGCTAAGGTCAGGGCAAACGATGAATGGACCCAAGAGCCACTGCTCGAAGAGAAGGCGCCTGTTTTCCTTGACAAATCCGGGAGGCTTTCTCGAAGCCCGGTCTCTGAACATTTGAAAGGATCTGGCTTGCAACCCTGCCACAAAGCTCAAGAAAGATTTTGCACACAGCAGGGTACCTCAATCAGATCGCACCAATCGCAGTGGCACTGGATCATAGATACATGGGCTCTCACTAGACGGATAGCTTCACGTCACTCAGCCTGATCTTGCCGAACTTAGCGACTCAAACTGCAGCCGGTGCGACCGCTACAGCATAGCGGATCATCCCGCAAATCACATCCAGCCATGTTGGAGCAAATCCTGAGGTTGGTGTGGTCTATGAACCACACCTAGTCACGCTGTGATTGCGGACGAGCTTCTGATAATCTGGAAAGTCCTTGCAAGCCTGCCGCGAATCTGGCAGCTCCGTCGACACAGGGTCCGGATGCCAACTTGGCAGAAAGATGAAGGCCAACCTGAGTCCACGAATTGTGTGCACATCCTCTGGCAACTTTGTTGTTGCCCAGCCACAGCGAGAAGACTCCAACCTGAGACGCCCCAGGCTTCAAGGTCATCCGTTTTGTGTTGGGAGCGTTGGGTCTGCATTGTCTGCATATCAGGTTTCAGGTGTGAATGCAGTGTGTTGGTGAGAGCTCGTCACCCGGTCAAGAGAACTTCTTGCCTTGGCCAAGATCTCGATGAAAAGGGAGAGCATCGCTTGGACGTATTGACGTCTCCGCATGTACTGGTCAGGTTCGGAAAGGATTTCGGTTCCAGGGTCAACGAAATTAAAGCCCCGCCTTGAAGTTCCAGAGTTTGGCAAGTGCTGCGGCGACTGCCTTGCAAGCCTCGCCAAGCCTGGCATGACAGGGGGAGAAAGCGGTGAACGTGCTTCTTCCTTGCTCTCAGGCAAGCAGCAGAACCACGAAAATCAAGGCTAGCGAGATGTCGACAGCTATATCTGCGAGAAGTCCTTTGATGCCATGCTTGTGCCTCGGCAGTGCTTCGTGATGTAGGTGCAAATGCTGTTGCAATGTTCGGAACAGGCTGACAGAAGCACTCGAAGCCAACGCCAACGCATGCAGTAATCAACAGACTGGCTGCAAAGGATTGTTGCAGCTCTCCCTCAGGCAGTCGCCCCAGTCATATATCAGGTGCGACTTCCTTGCGACATGCAATGCGACAGACCGTCATGGGCAGATGACGCAACTCTGCGACATTCTCTCTTCGAATTAGCGGCATGTTCAAAAAAAATGCAAGCAGAATGAAGGCAGCCGCCAGGAAGGCCAACATCACAACCTAAGCACGTGTTGCAAAGTGTACCGATGTGAAGTCACGTTCGTTTGTGCCACTTGCATTCAAGCGGCAACTGTGACGAAGCCTGCAAAGACGGCCCATACCTGAAGCTGCCAGCATGTCGAAGGGTTACACGCGCTCTCAATAGATGTAGCATCCAGTGAATCTAGTGCTGTTCTGATGCTCGGGTCTCTCAGCCACGCTTCCATTGTCTTTGACTGCTGGCAAGCTGCCCGGGGCCATCTTCGTGCAGTGTAATCAGGGTTGTGTCGTCGGACTGCTATCCTTGCTCGATGTCTTGACGTCGCGGCCCCCCCTCCCCAACTCAGCCAGGGCACTGCTTTGACTCCCAGCCTTGCACAAAGGGGGCAAACTGTGTGGCTCGTTGAACTTGGAGCATACACAGTCAGTGCATCCAAGCAGCCGATGAACTTTGCTTTCAAGAGCGCGCGCCTCACCCAGTAGCAGAACTGCCGCCAAACATTTGAGTCTGGCTGGGCTGGACCCGGGTGAAGTAACATACCAGCTCGAAGTATGCAAACCCGTCTGTTGATCAGCCCTCACACTCAAATCATGACAAGCGGAAGTGGGACAAGCCAAGCGAACCACAGAAGCAGCACATACAGGCCTACATGAGGCCACAGAGTAGTAAGCCTGTGTGTGGCAAGCTGCTGGAGCTTTTCCCCCATCTCCCGCCGCTTCTCCTGCGGAACCTCGTCTATGCCCTCCAACCTGCAGGGGGTCTGTCCAAAAGAAACCTTTCAGGCACGGGCAGGGTTATGTGACATGTGCATCCGAGGAACAGTCGAGCAGGTGAATGCACATCCTTGCTGGTCAAGGGCGGACCTGCCATGAACAGATGCTGTGCTTCGGCGCTTCGCCTCTAGGATGGGGGACCCTTAGCACTCTCTGCTCTGAGCTTCTTTCAAGATGAGCTCATTACAAGGAGAGCCCATCAAAGCACCCCGCTTTCTGCATCATGCAAGACATGCTTGCCGAACCGAGATCGTGCATGCTTTTGGACACTTTGCGGAGGTGAAGGCTGCTGTCCTGCTCAGGCTCTTGACAAGAGAAAGGCGACTTACTCGACTCTCTGTGCAAACAAGTGGCAAGGCCAACGCCTGTCTCTTCTAATGGGCTTGTTCGTGCCCGCAGAGATTGAAATTGTCCCACTGGGAGCTCATCGGCCATATGGCCATGGTGCGAGTCACCCTGTTCGGACCACCCCGTCCCATCCACTGGGGGGGTGCTGCCAGAATTAGCTGTCGACGGCATGTTCGACGGCATGTTCGTTGGCATGTTCGTTGGCATGTTGCTGTTCTCTGGTGAACATCCCACAACCTTGAGCATCCGCTGTCAGCTGCACAAACTGTCTCGAACTGCATCTCAAACATAGAAGCAGCTAACTAGATCTTGCCATGCAACTCGAAAGTTGGAGGCAGCATTTCCATGGATTCCACCGCTCCTCAACACCGATCTGCGGCTGCCCGCGACCTTGCTTCCATGTTTGAGACACCTGGTTCACATACTGAGCTCGGACCAGCCCAGCGCCGGGAAGTGGAGACTTTAATGTTTGCTCGAGGTGGCAAGGCAGAAATTGTGGCTAGCATTCAGAGCTTTCGATCGAATTTCGGCCGGTCTTTCAATTTTGTGGTCCAGCTCTGGCCGGGAAACGAAGCAGCCAAGCCTCTCCCGGCCCGTCGGTTCTTGAAGCAGTCCGGTGCCACAGTTACCAACAAAGAGCCAGTTACGAGAGCACAGAAGTCATGCATGGCAGTTTGCAGACCTGCAGTCTTGCCACTGCCTCCAAGCGACTGCGCACAAACAAATGGCCCAGCAAAGAATCAAGAATTGCAATAGATACCACCTGCAGCAAGCAGTGCTTGCAGAAAACACTTGTGCGAGTTCTCGAGTGCTGAATTGATGCAATCATGCAATCATGAGCGCCGCACAGCGTTCCCTCGTATCCACCCATCTGAGGACGAGCTCCAGCGATCCAGAAGGCCAAGCAAACAGCGGTCAGCACCCAAAGACTGCGAACGAATACGTTTGTCCAAGCAAAAACATAGCCGACCTGACCACTTGCTGCTGCACACGGTCGTGAAACGAGAAACCACGTCACGCACATCCCGAAGCTCATCCCGGCCTCACGGCCGTAGTGATCCAAGAGACATTCTTCGAGAACAGTTCCGCCTGGCAGCTCGCAGCTCGCGTCATTCAAAGGCCATCAAAGAACTGCAGGAGCGGAGGCTGCCTGGAGGCTGAATTATCCTCAATGCCCAGAGAACTTTTCTCCACCATGGAGCATCATTTCCAGCATACCTCGAGGCAGAGGCAAGATCCGTTGTTGAAGCACATCGTGCGAAGGATAAACGGCTGGAGCCCTAGATGTTCAACCTCCCTGTGGATGGACAGCAGGTGGCACAGCGAGGCTGCAAATGTACCGCTACCGGGCCGCTACCTTTCGTTCGCTTTCTCTTCTTGCGTGCCTCTTGTTGCCGCTCTACCAGCAGCTTTGTCAAGTATCGGCGTCGCTTTCATGTCTCTGTTGCGCACCGTTTTGCGCAAGCGGCAGGCTCTTAAAGCCTTCGACACGCACACTCGCACTGGGCAGGCCCGGACCTTTACAATGCTCTCATGCGTTCGTCCATGTCGTGGCTTGCAAGGTGCCGCATGCCGTCAGACCGATGGCTAGCTGTTGCACGGCAGATAAAGAGATCCATTTTCCTTCCCATATTGGTACAGGGCCGTCGCTCTGAGCTCCTAGCTCGCATAACGCAATGGCGGAGGCGATGTCCTTGTCATGGAGAGGCCAAAGGAAAGGACCAGAATCAGGAGGGTGAAGCTTGGCCGTTGCTGCTGTCACCAGCCTTGCATTTTGCGAAATTGTCGGGTCTTCGTCTTAGCATACTGAAAACGACTGTGTGAAGTCTGCTTTAACCCAGGAGTCGAAGCGAAGAGCTCCAAGGTGATCGCCGGCGGATCGTTTGTCGGATTTTCACCCTCCCACCTGACGACAGGCAAATCGCGAACAGATTTCTGTTCTTGCAATGCATGCCCCGACCTCAGAATCCACAAGCACACCTCCTGTCCGCAATACAGGGTCTCTGCGAAGGCTTCAATCCTCAGCTGCGTGCGACCGGCATAAGCCTCACTTGAGCTCTCGCAGAAAGAACATCCTGACAGCGCCGTACAGCCACAACAACTTTAAATGCAGATGCTTGAAACTGTAACCGAGATGCAAGACGCCGCGGTCGGACAGTGCATCGAGAGCTGTAAGGGCTTCGTCGGAAGCAGCTGTGGGCAGTAGCAGGCAGAGCAAAGGAGGCTGCTTCCACTCCTCGGTGAGGCGCTGGCAGATCTTCTCCACCTGAAACACACCCGAACTCCACAGTGCAGCTTTCGGTGTGGCATGACGGCCTCATTCCACTTCCATCTGGCTTTCAGGGCCAGGTATGCCACTTTCCGCTGGATCGCGCTGACTCTCACTTTCCGCGCCCTAGGCCATGCAATTGCAATTTTGCAACTCTTGATCACGAACACGCTGTTCTCACTGATCATGCACTGCAACTGAGCTGGCGGCCATGCCCAGTGCTTGTTGATTTTATGCGAGCCTTTGGTGCCTGCTTGTCGGGTCACCGGCTGTAGCTTCTTGAGCGCTGTTGGCCCAGGAGGGGACATGCCCTAAAGCAGCAGCATTCTTGCTGCAGTGCTCGATCCAAAACATATAATCGGTGTGTTCCACTAGGGATCTGTTCCTCGTCCTAGCAGGTCCTAGTCCTAGCGGTCCTGGCCCGAGAGCAGAAGAGAGCTGCAGTGGGCGCAGTTTTTTAGGACAAGCGCGCGCGTAACTTCGCTGCTACGCAAACGCCGCTGCTGGTTTTCAGCAAGACGTGCAAGTCGATGGAATGAGCTGCAGCCTGGTGAAAAGTTGCTCTGCTGAGTCAAGCGGCTACACGCGAATTATTCTGGACTCTGAACTCTTGCTGCGTTTGCTACTTTCACGCGATTGCTCGAAGTAACGAAGTAAGACTTGAGTGGGTTGCCTCCTGTTCCCGGAACCGTTGGACATGTCGGTGGCCAAGTCAGGACTCTCTCAATCTGCACTGCGAAGGTTTAAGCACTGTGGATTATTGCAGGATGCTATGGCGAAAGCTGGCACTACCTACGCCCGTGAACAACTTGTACCTTGCAGTCGTCGCGCCGCCTACATACTTGGCAAAAGGGGCTCCGGAAGGAATAGGTGTGGGTGCGACATGACAGATGTGTTGAGGCACCCGTGGTTGAAGCTCGGGCTTCGAAAGCCTGGCCTTCCTCCTTTTAAGAACGTAGCATTTGGAGAAACTAAATCACGAAGTCCGGCAGCATCGTTCAGCTCTTCGCCTAGCTACCCGCGGTTGTTTGGTATGGTTTACGTTCAGCCGCTTGGCTGCACAAGTTGGCATGAGCTGCTCTGACCAGCTCCTGACATATCCTGACACGAAATACAAGCAATTCCTGCTACTTCCAGCCATTTCTGGCTCCTCACTGCGATGTCCACACTCAGGCAGGCGACTCTGCGTCAACAAAGTGATGCACGCCGCCTGGAGGGTCTGCCAGTCAACTGCGAGCTTTGAGCCATGTAGGCAGGCGGTGCAGGTGACAAGAGCTTTGGGCCAGCCCAGTTCTCACGTGTGACAAGTTCTGGCGTCGTGTAGGGCGTGTACGTCTGGGGCTGAGACGAAAGCTTTGGGCCAGCCCAATTTTGATATGTGGTAGGTTCCGATCTCGCAGGGCCGGTTGGCCTTGGTTGGCCCAGCTGGCTCGCGGACGGAGTGCGAAACTCTTCTGGAGGATTTCTTCCTGGACGCCAGATTTCCAGCTGGATTGGCCTCCTCACAGCTCTGTGTGCGCTTTGCGCCTTCCTGAGCTCCTGCGCTAGGTGCTGGGGATTCAGGACAGTCACACCGTTCACCTGCAATATGTGGTCACCAACAGCCCAACCCGCCATATTGGCCACTTGTGTATCGGTAATGCCTGAAATCGTCAAGCCATGCAGTGCAATCCCCAGATCTCCATCGTGAGCGTCTGCCAGGGACACGGCGACTCGACCCCCAGCTGGCCACTTGTCTCTGGATAAGGAGGATTCAAGGTTCGATATCTTTTGATGAAGCCCTTGTAGCCGTTGTTCTGCTTTCTGAACTTCTTCCACGATGCTTCCAGACTGTGTTGCAGTGAGGAGGGAAGGGCCAGCACCATGCGACTGGACATGTCCCGGGTGCCGAAACTCCTCGTCCCGTGGTTGCCAGTGGCGTCTCACTCCATCTAAAGGATTCCATTTCTGCACCTCCAAGCTCTCCCTGATGGGCTCGCTGCCTGGCAGATATGGCGACCCCACCATGCCTGTCTGCAGGCCTGTGTGCAGGCCTGTCCGGAGGCCTCCTTGGCCATCTGCCATGTCCATCAAGGAGAATGAGAAGCGCCGCTCGAGGGTGCGAGTTGGCCCGCTATGGCTCGAGAGCGTCGCGGGCTCACTATGTGAAAGCGTATTGGGTACAGCCGGGGACCCTCGCTTTGCCCCACAATGACGGCAAAACACTGAGTCCCAATGATCGAATCTCTTGCCACAGTTCCAGCACAGCTCTTCTGGATGCAGGTTCTGGGCTGCGTCGGGCTTTGTAGGGGACGTCTCCTCAGGCCAAGCTCCGACACCTGCCCCACTGTCAAGATCGGTCTTGTTGAAGGTGCGCGATTCTGGCGGATCATCACTGAAACTCACTCTTCGGGGGTTTCTGGCCTCTGGCTGGGAGCCCTCCATGTTGAAGCCGCCGGATGCCGCATCGCCGAGGGAAAGGCCAAAGCTGTCGTGAGTATCTGCGACATTCGCTTCCACCCAGTCAGTTGCAAAATCCTCATCGCCTCCTTTGTTTTTCTTCTTCTTTTTCTTGTGCGGCTTGCCAGCGGTCGCCGAAGAGTCTTCACCAGAAATCGCCAAATCAGGAAACATGCTAAAATGATAAGTGATGTTTACTCTCGCGATGTTTTTAAAGTTCATTGGATAATCCGGCAGGATCTATTCAAATAATCAGGGTCTTACCGAGTCTTGCCTGCCGAGAGCAGTGAGAAGGTATCGATTAAGTTCAAGCTAAACAAAGCCCAAGCCCGTGGCTGCAGCCTCAGAATGCAAGGCAAAACAGCAAGGCTTATAATTCGCAGCTGGCAGACCTCACTGAATTGTAAAGATATGATGCCATGGAAGGTGGGAGGGGGAAGAACCTGGGAAGCCACGCCATCCGGGTGCCCCTGTGCACGATCACTTCATGCCACGCGTTCAAAAGATCTGTGCCAAATTCGGCAGCTGTGAACGCCAGGCCGGTTCCACGACAGCTCATGGCAGCTGCTCGATCTTAGATCTTGGAATGCACTCTTCGGTCCATACGTCAAAAGTCGCAGATAGAAAGTCGATTCAGACCCTAGGCACTCCGGCAGTCCTCTGACTAAGAGAAGAAAACGAAGGGAGGGGGAGAGAGAGGCAGCGAGCCTGAGCGTCTCGGCCAGCCTCCAGCAAGCATACGGCATGAAATACTCCATTTTCTCGAGAAATGTGGTCGCATGCTGAGGCCCGCGTGCAGCACATGTTTGGCCTCCCGAGCTCGCGATCGTGCAATGAACTGGCCGCGTACAGGTTCGGCGATTCTTTCATTGAGCTTCTGCAATACAGCCGCTCCTAGCTGTGGAAGGACTGGGAGGGAAAGGCTGAATTCTTCTCGCGAAAAGGCAGCCGCGGCATACTTTTCTACGATTCAGCCAGCAACACGCACTTCAACCCCGTCTTAGTGTGCAGCCGTCAAGTTGGCCATGAATTGGGACATGGGAAGTCCTGGCCTGCAATCAACGAATTAAGCAACTCGACGCGTAAACCGAAGTGGTGGCTAATTCCTGTACATTCGACAACAGCTCCGGCTCTGAAGCAAAGGGGTCGATCCTTCATTCTCTCGTGAGCTGGCCGGCGCCTGCAAACGGTCGCGGGCGTGCAATCAGCAAGCAGGTAGATCCGTGTTGGTTTTTGGCCACAAGTTCGGGTCCACCCTTTGGTTGGCTCGAAAGGCATCGTCACAATTCCAAATCTTGGCTCCCGCATATATTGCATTGCAGGCTCGTGCGTTTAGCGTTTTTTTCTTCACTCTGCCGACTGCCTAGAGGGCCTAGAGCATGCCGGAGTCGCACCGTGACGATGTCCAACCGGATCAAGAAAGAGTGAACAAGGCAGTCGCAGCTACGCTCTACTCCCTCAGATCCTCAAGCCGGCCTGACATCTCTGGCCGCAGCCCATGCGCAAAGCGATTGTTGCAGGCTTCCAGTGCTTCTCGCAGCACCATGCATTGATGCTCCCCTCGGTTGTGCTTTTCTCGAAATGTAAGTTTGATACGCTACGGAAACGTGAGCAGCACAGAAAGAACGTACACTGACTCAATCCTCGCGACTGTGCTGCAGCTTCTGTGTCAAGGCTTCTGCTCTTCTCTGAAGGTCTTGAACAGGTAGTTTGGCAACATCCTCCGCCTGTACCTGGACCCACTGTGGACTTGGCATCTCAAGGTCCTGCAGGGTGTGCATGCACATCTGTTGAATCGTCGCTTCAGTCGCAGCGTACAGAATGCCCATACTAGTACCAGCACGTCCTTCAAGAGGCTCATGCTGTCCAGTGGGGAAGACACAGATGAGAAGGAGTCAGTGGGCGTGTGCTGCAAGCGACAGCGATCGGTGGCGCTGCCTTCACTGCCTATGTTCTCCCTGGCAGCTGTAGAGGTAGGCGATTGTGTTGACGACAACTGCAAGCTGCTGTGCTCACTTCCTTTGAGGCTTGACCTGTGGCCGCTGGGTTGTCGCCAGCACGAAGCCACACGCACTTCAAGCTTTCGCAAGCAATGTGACTGTGATTGATTTGCGGTGGCCTCCTCATCCTGTATTGCAAGGGCACTAATACAGGCTGGCAAGTTTCTGCTCCTGAACCACAGCACTTCATCTTCCAGCGTGTCCGCAGCTATATCATCACGAAGTCGCCCGTCATCTGACGACTGCCGTTCAGACGTGGCAGTCTGTGTGCCGGCATCAATTCGGCACACCTGAGCAATGCCAGATGATCCGACAAAGCAGCCTTGAAGCTGAACATTGAACAATTGGCTTTAGCGGGCCTGAAGGACGGACCAATCCTGGGACTCACCTCGGTCCGCATCTGGTTATGTGTATATGTGTCTGGGCCCCAGCTCGAAACAAAGCGGCTGGATATGTCTTTGCAATCGAGGGAGTCGGGCTGCTACGAGAATTGGCATGCTGACTTTTGCCACAACGCCCGCGACAAGAAACTGAGTCCGGCTCCAGGGGAGCATGGCAAGCCGGATATTGGTGGACTGAGCCGCACCGGTGAAAATGTGGTGTCGTGCGTGTGGAATTCTGGCCTGGCAGGCGAGACCTTAGAATTCGGAACAACATGTAATCAGGGCCTAAGCGCTCGAGTTCGCAGCCTGACCACAATCGCTAAGTTTTGAGCCGATGTCACATCGTCCCTGGGCTGGAAGTTCGTCGTGGCTTGGCTGAAACGAACAGGATTCAGCCAAGCTTCTTCGTCGCACATATGCGAGCATCCTCTGCTAATCTACGCATCTCTTGCTTCTGCTGCGGCCGCGACGGCCTCGCCTCAATAAGACCGAAGGGGTGTAGGCCAGAAGTTCGGATGAGCACAGTGTCACGAAAAAATCCCTCTCCAACGGACCGAGCCATCTGCTGCCTCATGAAGGCCTTGCAGAGGCAGTAAACGCTTCGAGCAGACGGGATGTGACAGGGTCATGCCTTGGCGCGAGCTGATTGGGACCTGCAGACACCGCATCGTGCAGCGAGCAACGTCCCTGGGAGCGCCGAAGCCTCAGCGGCCGCATTCCGCAGGACGAAGGAGCCGACAAACGGCATGACTGGGCCTGGGCTGTGGAGCTGCACTCGCTCTTGAAATCGGATGCTTCTGCTCCTTAAACTTCCAACTCCCAATTCCCAAACAGAGAGAGAGAGAGAGTTGCTTCGATGCAGCGTACACAAATGAAATCAACTATATATTATATATAGGCTATAGGCTTCAAATTGCTGTCCTCCGTATCTAAAGTTGTCTTCCGGGAATTGTTGGATCCTAGGGCATCCCGAGACTTGCCGGTCTGCTCATCGGCTGCGAGAAGGCTCACGAATCGGGCTGGTGCGATCCAGCAAGATGCGTCAGGAACAGTTGTGCTTGCTGCGACTAGGTTGCATGGAGAGTGCCGCGGACTGGAACTTGCCGCTGACTTCAATGATTGTGGAGACGCCATGGCCATCGACCTGGTGGCCAGGCGAGACAACAAAAAGCGTCAAGCCAGATCTGTGAGCACCGCTCCAGCTACCAGTCCGAGCTGCTGCTCTTGCCGTCCAGGATGCACCGCTTCGCTGGAAACTTCAGTGCCGAGCATTTCGCATTTGACCACAGTGGAAGCCGACCTCGCTGGTGCTGGCGGTACGGAGCTCGGTCTCAAGGAACAAGCAGAAAGCAGGTCCTCAGCACCGTTGCAGTTACATGCCGATAAGCGCAACGAGATGCCATCGGCCGACTATGTTTAACTCTTGGCTCGTTGTTCCATTAACGGTTGCACTTCCAATCATTTCTCTGATGCTCGCAACAGAATGTCTCGCGCTTGCACCTTGATTGCTGGTTACGACAGTCGCGAACGGTCAAGGGATGCTCTCCTCGACCGGAATGCCAATACTCTATCTCTAACATCCTTCCGGCTGTGGAGGACGCGCGATTGAGACCTACTCTCGAATGAAAAGCACGCTGCAGCAGCGCAGTGGCATCTGGAATCCGACACTATCTGACTCGCTATCGGACACTATCGTGAGGTGCTTCTAGCAGTCTAGCGCCAGGCCACCATTGCAGTGACTTCGGAACGTGGTCGCAGCTCCGAAGCGACGTGCCCAGGAATTCCTGGCCGCAAAGAACTCTCCGAGGCTCGCCTTCGAACTTCGGGGTGTTCCGGACGTTGACGCGGATCTCGAGAATGAAGAGACAAGAATGTCGGCTTCGCAAGAGCTGGCGGTGCGACAACACTTGCGGGCATACTGTGCATTCGTGGGGGTCCAGCACAAAGGTTGAGGTGACCGAAGGAGTTCGGCGGCGGAGCCGGTAGCGATGCTCTCGATGTCCAGCGTTCACAACTAGAAGCCCGGCCCCAACGAATGCGAGGATCATGGTAAGTCGCCGGTCCCGGTGGCCCCAGGTTGATGGCACCCGCCACAATCGGCCCAGCAGGGTGCACCCATGGCTGCCAAGGATGCCCAAACATCGTGCTACTTTCTTGCAATTTATGACAAGACCTTCCTTCTGGCACTTTAATCTTCCGGTTGGCACTAACAAATTCACTCGCCGAATCACGAAGGTAGATTATGCAATAGGTCGTGATCCCCTTTGCAAAGAGAGCGACACCGGTGGCGTGTGTCATCAAAGCGCCTGTTTGAATTGCCGCAATGGCGTGGGGTCACAGCAACCGACGCAGCAAGGCCAAAGCACTTTTGGATCTACAGGTGAAACAGCCTCGGACTCAGCACCAAGTCGTTGCCAGGTGCGGTAGCGGACGGAGTGCAACGTAAGCCAATATCCAACTTCACTTATCCTGAGCTCTCCCGAGCCACAATCAACGTTTGACAACAACAGTAATCATTCGAAGCCTAGGCGAAACCATGTTGCCAGCGAGCCAGGGACTTCTTCAGTCAACAACTCCTTCCGAACTAGTATCAGGCAGCAGGCCTTTGCTTTTGCGGGAGGGCGCGTGAGCGTGTAGGTAAGCACGCCACCTGTGCCTAGGTCGCTATTGCAGGAAAACACTGTGCCCAAATCAAAATCTTGTCAACGGAGGCACAAATGCAGTAGCCGAGAACTCCCATCGATGTCAGCCTCTCAGGCTTGTGCGTCGAATCCATTTCCATCAATGCGACACGTCGAAAAGCATTGGAAACAAAGCGCCACAAATTTACGACAAGAGGCTCTGACGGATGCGTCAGTCTGCTCACGACAGTCGTGGCACACTTGTATGCGACATTGGCAACCTTCGCTGATGCGACTCAAGCGAACCAAAGCAAGGCAAGTCCGCCAGCATGAGTAGCATCGTGCCTGGATAGTCGTTGCAGACACCTCGGCCTGCTCCAGGCTGCACCGCAAAAACATGATTGCCGGGAAGAGGACGAAACCCTTTCGGGCATGTCTAGAGTCTCTAGAGTCTAGAATGGCGCAGGGAAGAAGCTGATGATTTCTTGCACGGTCACCGGTTTCTTGCTGTGCCAATGTCGCAAGTTGAACCACCGGTTTTCAGTCCCTCCAAGGGGGAGCCCCCATTTGCAAACAGAATGCCTGTAATTATGATGGGATGTTGAACCAAGCCTTTGGGCCATACCTATGACGTGTCCGCGAAACTGTGTCGTGATCATGCCTGAAAAAGCTTCCCCCAAGCCAATTTCGAGTTTTCGCCGAAAGCCCTCCGAAATCCCAAGGTCGAGTTTGCAAAATCCAGAAGTAGGTTTGGTGAGTATATAAGATGGTCCGACATCACGAAAGTACTATAAATACCGAATTGAAACGGCTCTTCTGGAGATTTGGTTCGGGGTGTCTGCGTAACAGTGTCGTCATCATCCCCCCCTCCCCCCACCTCCCCCCACCTCCCCCCCCAAAAAGCAAGTCCAAAATCCGATGCTCGAGTTTGCAAACTCGACAAGTCGGTTTTGAGGCTTCATAAGATGATCCTACATGGCGCAAATGTAGTAAATACCAAGTAAAATGGATGTTGCCTTAAGGCCAAGTGTGGTTGGTACGGGGGCGCCTCCTACTACCACCACCACCACCACCACCACCACCACGACTACTACTACTACTACTACTACTACTACTACTACTACTTCTACTTCTACTTCTGGATCTACATTTGTACTTTTGTACTTGTGACAACACTGCAAGAGGGATTCTGAGGACCGTGCAATGGCATCGCCAAGCCAAAGCCAAAGCCAAAGCCAAA